GGGGGGGGGGGGGAGGGTTGGCCTCCAGCTTCTCTCCCATAGTCCAGTGTCACAGAGGAGCTGCAAGGCTGCAGTGGCCAAGCTGGAATTACATGACTCAGCACTGAGGCCTGAAGCCTAGCCTGAGGTCAGAGCCAGAGCTGGAGGCTTCACAGCCCTGGTGGTAGAGGCTCATTCCTTCCCTCCGGGCGTGAGCACCTGCAGGAGGCCCCCAACTTGCAGAACTGCAAGACCTGGGTTTCTGGGCCAACAATGTCCTGCTAATTTCCATCTCCACCTACTCGGTTGGCTGGCTTCCTGGCCTGGAGGACAGCTGCCAAGGGCACCCCACACCCAGCACACTAAAAGAATTCTCAGTCTTGCCCCAAGCCCCTGACACAGCCTAGCTTTGCAGGGCCCGGGTTCCACCGCCCCTTCCCTCCCCTGCTCTGCCCCAACTGGCTGGGCCTCCTTCAGCTTCCGCACCTCAGCTTGGGCATCACTAGTCAACAGCTACAAAAACAGCAGCTCATCCTCACTGGGGGCGCTGCCCTGGGTGCCCAGTCCTGTATGCCCTGTCCTGGGAGCCTTGTCCTGTATGCTGGGTGCCCAGTCCTGCACTAAGTGCTTCACAGAGGTGACCTCAGGTAACCCTCAAGACAATGCTCGGAGACAGCTGTCATCTCCTTAACAGAGGGAGCTGAGGCTTTGAGAGGTGAGGTCATGTAGCCAAGGTCATGCAGCTGGCAGGTGGTGGAGTCCAGAAATGAATCCAGGCACCAATCCTTCACCTCCAAGTCCACTTTCTAACAGGCTCCTTTGATGTACATCTGGAGGCCCCCACTCCTCCTGGTGACTCAGATCACCGAGGACTTGAAGACCACTAGGGGGGCCAGGACCGTGAGCTCCATGAGGACAGGGTTGCATCTGTTCCGTTCATCCCAGCACCCCAACATCTAGCAAATGCCCTGGGGCTCCCCTGAGCTCTGCAGCCCCTTCCAGCCTGGAGATCCTGGAGCCTGCCCCCTTCCCCTCCCTCTGCTGGCCGGACCACCAGGGCCACACCCTTCCCACTCCCATCAGCCAAAGGCACCAAACAAATGACTCAACCGCTCTTGTAAGAATGGCATCTTCCCTCCCCCCCTGGCCTCCAGCCGGCTGCTGGCCCAGGAGGTCAGGCACCAACAGGGAAACACTCAGTGACTCACCCCAAAGCTCTGACACACAGGTCCTTCCCTCCTCCCCCCGACACCTTCTAGTCCCACTGGACTCCTTCTCTGCCCTCCTGACCCTCCTCCTGCCTGGGACTCCCCAGCGTAGTTAGAGGCACCACCTGCCAGCCAGACCCTGGCACCCGAAGGCAGGATTGTCCTGACTCCGCCGGTTCTCTCGCCCTTGCGCCCCATCCTCAGCTCCTCTTCCTGCTGAGTCACCTCCCTTCCCTGGAACACTCTCTGTTCCAGCCACCTCTGCCGGTCCAGGCCTGAACCCCTCAGAGCAGGACTCCCACACACCCTGCCTCCCCTTATGTCCCCACTCATCCCCCCACAGACACCAGAATGACCCAACTCGAGTTCTGATCAGGCCCTTTCCTTGCCTCCCCACCGCCCCACGAACCTCCCAGCCTTCAGAATGCAGGTGAAACTCCCCAACCTCCGGGCCCCACAACCCACCTCTGTCCCCTCCTGGGTTTGTCCTCTCCCTCCTCTCCCTGTTCTAACCCACCGAGCCAGCCCCCCAGTGCTCCTGGCAGTTTCTTGCCTGTATCTTTGCTCAAGCAGACCTTTCCCTGAACGGCCATCTACCTCTCTCAGACCCCCTCCTAGCCCACCCCATAATTGTCCTGAGGTGTCACCCAAACAAGGAGGCCCCCACCCAGTGCAGGTAACCATGCCCACCCTCCACGGCCAGGTGGGGCTTGGGCAGGACCTGAGCATCCCATTTTCCGCTAACGTGTCCTTTCTCCTATTGAAGCCTCCGCCATCGTGGTCCCTCCAGCCCCCAGCACAGAGCCCAGCACAGGGAAAGTGCTCAG